TATTGTTGTATTTTTTTAGCGTTTTGTGTTTAAAAACAAAATATAAAATGTGGTTTAACCAGTAATACACATTGTAAAGGAATAGAAAAAAAATAATGTTGACAACTTTTTAAAAAAAATGTATATTTTGTGTTTATATCTTGTATTTCAACTGTAAAGAGATAGAATGAAAAATTGAGGACATTTTTTTAAAGTTTATTAAATTTATACAAATGTATATGTTAAACAAAATACCAATTGGACAAACTTTAAATTAAATCAATATGTATCGCTCGAACGTTTTAAAATAATCTACATATTATATGTATTTAAGTCTACCCACAGTTACACAAAATAATTTTTGGAAGTTACTTCCTTGTTTTTCCAATGTTGTTAGTTTTCATATGCAGGGAATTATAACAGGTAGGCTTGATGAATAATATATCTTATGTATTTAACTAAGGGATAAAGCAGATAAAGATAAATTTTACTTTTCAATAAAAGTGTGTGTTTTCAAATTCCAAAAACACATTTTTGTGTTTGTCTTTGTATAAAAAAATATATGGAGAGATTTTATGGATAGATGGCAATATCTCTCCCTCTCTCTCTCTCTCTATATATATATATATATATATATATATATATATATATTAATATTTATTTATATATTAATAAAGTACACAATTAAAATGAGAACACAATATTTTTTTATTATTTTAAAATGGACGTAAAAATGGAATATTTAAATAACAGAATCAAGTTGTTGTATGTGTTGTAAAATAGAACATTTTAAATCATATATATAATTCTTTGTTTTTTCTTGTTTCGCTACAGCTCAACTGAATAACTTTTGATCATTTATTCATTTCAGCCAAATTAAAATCTCAAACTTTTTCCAGTTCGCTTTGTCTGTGTTTAACATTATATATTCGTTTAATTTTCTTTCTCTCTCTAGCTTTAACATATACATAAAAATATCAACACAAAAAAAATAAGTATTTTCCTAGGTTGTGGAATGTCCGAAATAAATTTAAATAAGTATTAATGCATCAAACAGAACTCTTAATGGGGCGTAAGAAATGTCATAACTTCTCAAACAATTTTTAGCATATCATGTGATAACGTTATTAATTTGTAGGTAGCCGGAAAGGTAATCGGACGTCCACTGGATATAATGTGGGAGACTCTTCGACTCTAGAAAGGTCAGTAACTCGCTAAGAAAAGATTGGATTTAGGCAGATTGGTAAAAAACAGGAAGGTGGTGGCCCATTTTTACAGGACAGGACGTTTTAAACTGCGTTTCTGGACAGGGCCATGGGTCATTGACAGCTCGCTGAGTACTGGAAAGAACGTTGGTAACTGAATTTAGCGCAGGACTATTTAACCTGCAAGTTGGAGACACAGTGAACCTAATACAAGACAAGATGTAGTTAACCTTATACAGAACAAGAGTTAGTTAATCTAATACGGTGCAGGACGTAACTAGCCAGATAAGGACATAAGTAGCTGATTCAGTACTCGGCGTTGTAACTCATACACTTTTGATACATGGTGGCAGAGTGGCTCCGAAAATGAAAAAGAGGAACGAGCGACGATAATTGTAAGGTACCCAAAGTTGATATACATATTGAAGTATTTTTTCTACTTTCCTCAAAAGAATAAAATGAGAAGATTAACCATCCAAGATGAAAAGCCATCATTTTAAATTCACGTGTTACGCTATGGCTTTCTTTTGATAAATTAATCTCCTATCTTAAATTTATGGCTCGTTCAAACAGTGCCTAACAAAGGACGATACCATAAAAAAATAAAATAACAAAAGTATGACACCCAAAACAGTACCAATTACAATAAATAGGATTTCATCCAGTAATAATACAATTACAAAGCAAAAGATGTATCATTACAAATCATCAACTTACAGTATGGCAGATCTTGTAGCAGTACATAGTTAACACAGTTAGTACAATGCGCCAATAAATAATTATGAATGATCAATGCGAATAAACATATATATAAGTACACAAAGAATAATACCCGACGTGTGAATTAAAATTATATATTAATATCTGTCCCTGTCTGTGCTTGTCAATCCTTTATATGTGTGAGTCTACCGACGCGTCTAGAAACGTACTTACTTTTCTAATACCGCCGAGAACGTTCCATAAGATACTAGCAGATATACTTACCATGTTTAATTGGAAGTCGGTAGTAAACAAGATACATCAAAGATATTTAACCACCCCCACAACAAACATTACTGTCTGCTAGGAGTCTAATATGGGGTCAAAGAAAGTTCACGCACTGGGAAAAATGGAACTACAAAACATCATGTATATACTTGACTAGCTAATTCATCAATTTTTTTTTGACAAGCTGTAATACGTCGTACTAATACTGAATGAACTCATGTCTGACCTATACATATATAATTCGCCAGTGAAACTGGGGCAAGACCACCACGCAGGGTATATATAGATACGCCAGAGCAAACAAGACGCATGCAAATCCCCCCTTTCCTTCCCTTGCCTGCCCATCGTTGGTCTCGAGAAAGCGCATTGTGGTGGAGCTAGCGCCCCTTCTCCTGCACCACTCTCGATTGCCAGCCAAGCTGGCAGTGTATGCTAGGCCGCGAGTCGGCTTGAAAAAAAAAGTTGATCGTGACGTATCTTGAAAAAAAAGGGGGGGGGGGGGGAGGAAGGGGTGTAGAAAAATTGGCATTCTTAAATGTGAGTAACTTGAGTTCACACTTTTGTGAAGTAACTTAAGTAGATGGGAAGTTCAAAAAAAAAAAAGGTGAGGGACGAGTTTTGAAAAAAAAGGGGGGGGGGGAGGAGGAAGGGGTGTAGAAAAATTGGCATTCTTAAATGTGAGTAACTTGAGTTCACACTTTTGTGAAGTAACTTAAGTAGATGGGAAGTTCACGCATTGCTTTCGCAAATGTTTGGCGGGCTACATCTAGTTTATAATAATGCACATTTACTATGTTATTTAAATTAACTGAATGTTAAATCCGTATATAAATATATAGCGCAGCTCACTATTAAAGAGAACAAATAATCAAACTTGTGTTTTTTTTAAAGTTCCTGTCACCACTGCCGCAAGAATCAACAGGTACATCACAAAACATACTAGACCATTGTCATAATAACCATGAAAAATACGTCACCAAGGCACTGCACCTAATCAAACATAATATCTTGTCCCACTAATTATTACTGAAATACTATACTCTCGACATATCCCCCCCCCCAACTTATATTTTAGATTTAACTCAAAGAGTTAACTCAACACACACGCATACACGCAAATCAAATAATCATGATTAGAAACCTTTAGATAAAACCAAAAAATCTGTACCAAAAATATATAAACAATAGTATCTCTGAAAATCTAACAGAGTAATGATGCACCTAAAACAACAAAACTAACCATTCATATATATTTTAACTACAATTCAAGACAATTTAAACATTATGTACAATACCATAAAAACTGAGAAAAGAATTTCAACATTAAAACACGGAACATGCAACGATAGTTTTAAAGTCACCAAAGGATAAACAGACTCAAAGGTCTGTTTAAACACGATTTGTTAACTCATCAAGTTTCTTACACGTTTTAATACGTCGCACTAACATTGAATCAACTAAACTCTGTTTCTTAATAATGCAACTTTAACATTTAATGTAAATTAACAGGATATGAATGCCATATATAGTATAGCGCAGCTCGCTATCATAAAGAAATAAAACACAACCTTCTTCTTTAAAGTACCTTTAACCACTGAATCAACAAATACGTTACAAAACACAAAAGACAACAAGTCATAACAATCATAAAAACTTCATTAAATGAAGTGAGGGAAGATTGATAATTACCTAATTCATCTTTCAGAAACACACTGCGAGTTATCAAACATAATATCCAGTCGCACCAAATATTAGTGAAATCCCTTACTCGAAAATGTTTTTTTTTTTAGAACATTTTATTAAAATTTTTTGGGGAATACTCCTGAATTATTATCACTCTTGCATTTGTTACCCTCAACAAGGAGCTGTTTATGTATTTTGCATAGGTAGAGATTGATGTACTATACCCGTGCTGTCACCCTGTGGGGACCGTAAACTAAACGAGTTCAGATGTAGCATGATGGCAATACTATAGAGGGTAAAAATGTAATGATTTTCCAATAACACTATAATGTTTGCCTTTAATTATGTAATAAAAGAAAAGAAAAAAGCTGACTTTAGATATTGATAAATATATTTTTTATTTACTTAACACTGGTCTTTATATAACACTTTATTATAAATCATTGCTACAACCCACTCGCAACAATTTAGTCAGTGTATATATCTAAGAGCCAAGAAGTTAAAGGTTACTTGTATATTAAAATATTTAATAATTAAATCATCCTTGTTTTCTATTTTTCAGACCAAAATGGCACTAATTATTTTGAGACTACTTTCATTGTTGACTATTGTTGGTTCGTTTAGATTTTGCAGAGTTAAATGTTTTAACATGTTTGTTAATGTCTATTTACACATTTAAAAGAAAAGGAGCAACATAAAAAATGTAACCTAAAGGAGAATAAAGATACTTAGAAGAAAAAAAAAAAATCTATTTTCTATTGAAATAATAGATATCATTTAAATTTTTTAAAAATGAAACTTCTTTGAAAATGTATTGAAATATTTAGAGAAAGCTAAATTATTCACGCTTCCTTGTCTCTCTTTGTGTCTCTCTAACTGTATATATCTATATTTTATCTCTTTCTTTCGCTCCCACCTTCTCTCTCTGTGAACATATTTACAATTTAAACCAAAAAAAAACATTTACTAATAACTGTTTACTTACTTGATCTTCCAGATGTCTCTTTGAGTCAATGGTCAATGGATGGAAAAACTCAAACATTTAAGTTTGCTATAAACAATTATGGCTACGTTACTAACATAAATTGGATGTTTCAAAATGGAACTAGAGATATAATTTTATTTTTATGTAGTTCAGAAAATGCAATGAGATGCGATCCCAATGATGATGCAATCCCCGTTCTTTACTCAGCAAACATGACGTCAAATTCATCATCATTTATAAGTCTGTTTACAATCAAGAGTGTCAGCCTCTCTCTACACAATACACGATGGTTTTGTAATGCAGAATTTAATGCAAACACTGGCTTTTTAGAGTCGTCAAGATTTGACCTTCATGTTTTTTGTAAGTTAAAAATAGTACAACTTAATACATCATACTATATTACAATATTAAAATATATTTTTTAGCATTATATCATCTTTTTTTTTTAAATTTGATCAAATATTAAATACTAATTCATATATATTGAGAGCTCTTCTTTTATAGTAAACCTAATTTTTTTTTATTTTAATAAAGCCTTACCTGAACTTCCAGTATGTGATGAAATAAAACTGCTAAATAAAAGTAATATTCAAGTATATTGTTGGACAAACAAAGTTTTTCCAGGAAGTGTGTGTCTATTTAATGTCAAAACCAATGTAAGTATTTTTTTAACAAAATCATTTACACTAATTTCATTTAATTTCGTGTAAGATACCTTGTTCGTCAAGGTTGTTCGTGTTTCCTGGACGTGGTATTTTACCTAAAATAAATGTACTGACTAATGCAATATTTTTAAAAGCCACTTGAAAGTGATATATCATATGTTGTAAAGAAATCTCTAATTTTGTATCTACTTAAGAACATTTTTTTTTTTTTATTTCCTTTAAAAATATTTTTGGATATCAGAGCACTGAGCATGTAAATAATATGTACATAAGCGCAATAAAAGTTTTAAATTGTCAGTATCACCTCAATGCTGTGATAAGGCGTCAGTGAAAAGGCTTTATCAGGTTTTAAGAATGGATTTGTGTCAGATATATGCGATCATTTATGGTATAATGTGAATATCATAATTTAAATTTGGCTGAAGTTCACTCAGCCCAACGTGAACCTCTAGTCATTACATTTCTGGAGATTATCGATACAATTTGTACTTTTTTCTATGGTTCATCCCTTCGGTTAGAATAATTAAAGAATACAGTTTCTATAACAGTTAAACATGAATGTGAAGTTCAAGATCAGATGCTGTTAAAACAATTTATGAAGGATTCGATAAACTAGTGAATGTGCTAGAAAAGCCGTGATAGTAAAAACCAGACCAACGATACGAGAACTGATATTTTTTCATCGAACAATTTTAAGTTTTAACTTAGTAGCTTTACTTCTTTTTTGGCAGTAATTTCGTGGAGAAATTGAACATGTTCAGAAACAGCTACTTGATTCCACAAAGAACTTTGAAGTGAGGAGTTATAATTTATAGATGTTCTTGAAAATACATTTGAGAAAATTCGTGAAAACGTGTGCAACAAAATTATAGAGAATGACAACATAAGGTGTGCGAAATGAGATATTGAAAGACGAAACCGACAAAGGCAATGAATGCCGAGAGAATTGGCACACGACTTAGGTATTTCAGCTGAGGAAGTAAGCAGTTGTAAGTCTCTTGAAGTATGTTTTAGATCTTTTCCAACAAGAAGCAACAACCCGATTTACAACGTTGAACTATTTGAAATCTTAATTTGAATTTCTGCTCTTCTCACTCTTCTTAGGAGTGAAGATTTTGATGTCCAGTATGTCATCCGTTAAAAAATATTAGGTTTTGGAAAAAAAAAATTACGACGCAGATATGGAAAAATTGTGCACTGAGTCTTGCGATTGTAAAATGCTGTTGGATGCTAATAGAAATAATTTACCGTTTTCTCCTTTGTATCCCCTTTCGTTTAATGTGTCGTATGGTGACGATGTTCGCAAATTATGCAATGCCTTGAAAAGTCATTTTGAATGGGTTTAATTGGATACATATAATTCTTAACTATCATTTAATTTTGCCATTCAATTTTTTGTTGTGTGTACAACTTGTATTTTTTTTTTCAAATATATCTACACGTTTTGCTAAAAGATTAAAATTCAAAGAAAATTACATTTATATTTATGTAAATATATATATATATATTTCTTTATGACATTCAATGTTATACATATAATTTTGCTTGTTTGACAGTAACTAGCGAGAACCCGACGTCCATTGCAATGCCACTTAAAGCAAAAACTTTTTGTGTTTTAAGTACTTTTTTTGAAAGTAAAATTTAAATATAAACTACTTTTGGGTTTTCCGTCCGGTGCAAACACGATAAATTAGAAGGTTTTTCAACTCGTGAAAAGACCACACACAGAAGAAAGGATTTTCAAATTTAAGTCCATACACTTGTATCAATGGATCGACCCATGCAGTAGCTCTGTTAAGCCAACTTATTTGTTTATTTTTTTAGATTAGGCCCCGGCCCCAAATCTAGTTTTAAAATGGTTGTACTAATTCAGAAACTATTTATTATGTCACACAAACTGAAATGTCGCTTGTATTTCATTCAATTCCACCAAACAAATTCAATATCTTTTGTTTTAAATTATATGTATATAGCTTCTTAAATTAAAAAAAACTAATTTGGGGCCCAAGGCTCTAAAAGGAAAATTTTAAAATTGATAAACTATTTCAGAAAACTATGGAGACAAGCACACAACAATTTACAAAAATGTAATCGTAATCGAATGAATGGTATATAGGAAAGGATACGGAGATTATATTTAGTTCATGAAAGAAAAAAATTGAATTTAGAGCCTAGGGCGTGAAACGGAATATTATAAAATGTATTAAATAATTCAGTAAATTTTGCGGCCTTATGCACAACAACTCCCAAAAGTTTTTTGCAATCGGATGAAAGATATAGGAGCGCATACGGCACATATATTAATATTAAATATGCATAAATAAAGTTTACTGAATAAATGTAAATTTGCGAAACTTTTCAAGGAAGCATTCTGTCTACCATACATTCATTATTCTATTTAACTATCTATCTAGCTGATATAATGCAATCCTATCCGTATATTCTATCTATCCTATATATCTCTCAATCTTTATATCTATACATTTACTATATATCGTTCTATCTATTTATACATATATCCATGAATCCATCCATCAATATATTCAACCATCTATCTATCTATCTATCTATCTATCTATCTATCTATCTATCTATCTATCTATCTATCTATCTATCTATCTATCTATCTATCTATCTATCTATCTATCTATCTATCTATCTATCTATCTATCTATC